TTTCAAGTCTATATCTGACGAACCTCAGCAATTCATAAAAGTGATGATAACACCATATCTTATCATATGCATCTATATAATGTTGTATTGGTATTAGATCTTCGTATGCAAATAGTAAACGAGGTCTTGGTTCATAAGTTATAAATGTTGGGTTGTCTCTGTTGGCCACCAATTTGTCGAGTACTGGAATCAATGAATGTTCGGTGTTTGACATCATTTTTGACCGAAAGTTCATACACAGATATTAATAACTGAGAAGAATCAGAGGTTTTTTAACCTCCGCCAATATTAAGTTGATCGTAATTAACTGTATCCCATGACGATCCTTGAAGCCTTGTTTTGAATAACTAATAATTTTTTAGGAGCTTTAGCCGATAATGAATGAAATAGAAACCCTCCATATTCCATACAGGATCTAATTAGTGCTCTCTATAACCGTAATAGATAGCTAAGTGTAGACAAAAGGAATTTAAGCATCTTTTTCGAATTGAATCAATCTGCGTATCACATTTTAAGGTGTTTTCAAAGTATAAACCCAATAATTTAAAAACTAGATTGAACTTGACCACTTTCTATGCAATCGTGAGTGACCACTGTCTCGATGCTACTTTATTGTCACGTCTGAAAACGCACAACTGATATTTCTCCTGTGATGGCTGTAGTCAACTGGAGTCGAGGAATTTCAAAACGTCTTCCATAGTATCTTCTAAATCCTTTAACGCTTGCCTTAGGTATTTGGCTCTCTTGTGGTAGGTGTCATCGTCATCAAACTCATCTAGTTGACATCTGTTACGTGGAATGTATTCCAACGGCTTCACATAGAGTATATTTAAAAGTGAACTTAACACCCCTCCTCGAGCTGAACCCTTACAAACAATTCTTTTTTCGTCTATGCCTTCATATCTGAGTGTCAAGATTTTAAAACCAACTAATTGATAGACAAAGGAAAGAAAAAGCACCGGAATTTCCTCCTGTCTGAAGATTCTAACTAACACGTCGAGCAGCACGTTGTCGTAAGTTCCTTTTATATCAATTGACAGACCAGCACTTCATTGTCTTCAAAAACACTCGGGATTTCAGCAATTAGTAGCGCCAAGTTGTCGGTACAAGATTTACTCCGTCTGAATCCAAACTGATGGCTAGGTTTTTATAGTATTCGAGCCACCAACACATCTATTAGGTAAAACTAACACTAAAACTAATATAGTACGATATTTGGATTTACAACTGAAAGAACTGGAACATAATAAAATTAGTTCAATGTTTACTACAATATAAAGCGGCCGAGATAGCTACGCGGCATGCATCTGACTCTGGCGATCACCCAAGTTAAGCAATGTTTACTGTGGTTAGTACTTGGATGGATGACCGCTTAGTCAGCGCTGGCTAACGCGTAGATCTCTGGACACTAGAAAAAGAGATTAACGTTCCGAAGAATAATTTCTTATCGATTATCGATAACTTGGCCTTGTTTCAACTATAATGACCTGGATGATCTCTGTGGTCTCCCTATTTCACTGTTTCAGAAGCCTAGGAAGAGGTGAGGAAAAGGGGGGATGCGGCACAGAACGCACAAGTCGAGCCACAGCCACAACAAAAAAAGCAGACACGAAAGGCAGTAGTAAAGAAAATAAAAACTTAGCGTGTAAAAGGGCTTGAATCGCCTGTAGAGTAGAACTCCATAATCTATTTATCTATTTACATCAATAAAATTAATACATTTGGCTATTGGAATCACTACAGCTAGATTTTTATCACTTAACAAGGCTTCGATGACATCAAGCGGGAAAATTTTTCCTTTTATAAGATCGTGTAGCAAAGTTTCTCTAGCTTCATCAAAATTTTTACTTTACTAATACACATGATTCAGTTCCTCAACAGATTCTCCACATGAGCACTGGTCAGAATTAACAAATTTTAAAACGGTGCAAGCTACCTGCCAAAGAAATGTGACCACTTCTCAAGCGATTAATTGACACAATAACTTTTCTGCCAAACTTAGAACTATTGAAACACAAACAAGAACTTGTGAGAGGCGTGCGATGTTCCCACTATCTAGCATGTCGGAGCCGAACCACTACCTATAGTTAACACTTTCGTAGAATTTACATATTATTATACATAATATGAATTGGACAGTTCTAAACATTTCTCATTAAATATAATAATAAGGAATTCATAAATTCGGCAAGTAATTGAGAGATAAGGATTCACATGTCGGTTCAGGCTAACTGAATTTTTTTTTCAGTTTCCTCTAAACTCTTATTGCAAATATCTCTTTTTCCTTTGTTTTATATGTGACTTTTAATTTTATTTTTTGATAATAAATATTTATTGTATACTATGACAGCTTTATTAATATTCCACTCATAATGGATTTGATGGTTTTCTAGAGTCGAAGCAGTGATGATGAAGGGTTATCTCCAAACCAAAGCAGTGATTTTGAAGATCAACAGGAATTCATGGGTCGAAATTCATCAGCTATTCACGGTGTATGTTTCATTAATAACATATGATTTAATGGGTAGTTATTGACTTTCAAAAAAAATATCGCACTTCACTGATGTATTTGCATGTAAGAAAAAAAATCTAATAAATGAAATTTAGTACTTATATGAATTGGGTGTTCTATTTGAACCATTCCCGGTTTTCACATATATGAAAAATTATACACATCATTTCACGGTTTGTGCACTAAAAAAAAAAAAATAGTTGAAAATAAATACGGTATGAATTAATTATCGAACTCGATTTCTCCTTTACCCGATAATTTAGATTATCTAATTAGTATCCCGAGAAAAAATGAATTTGCCTAATCATATATGGTTATATATAATCTCACTTATATATAATTAGACCTGAAAATTGACCAGATCTAATCATATATAATTAGATATAATTATATATAATTATTTCTATAAAAATAAAAAATATCCACCGCGAGCGGGGATCGAACCGGAGACCTGACGCTTCAAAGACCAATACACTACCTGTTTACCTATACGAGACTTACCGGAAGAGTAAAGCTTGAAATACCTACAACTAATGCAAATCGAATACATAATCGATTTTTATAAGTTAAATTAATTAATACAGTTCCATTATTTCATCCACAAAAAACTATAGTTTAAAAGATTATTAATCATTTGAGTAGCAGATTCTGAGATGAAAACAGAGAATGTTTTATAGTAATCACAAAATTCATATATAATTATATACGATTCATATATAACTATATATGATTTATATATAATCATATATGATTTATATATAGTTATAAATGATTCATATATAATTATATATGATTTCCGTATAGTTACACTGATATTGATGGAAGGATTTGTTTATATTTATTGAGCTTTATTGACTGATAATAAGTGATTTTTTTAACATCATAGGATTTAATATACATTTATTACCAGTTAATAAATTATTCATTAAATACGATTTATTAAATGTTAATAAATATTTGTTAACAGTTAACAAATATTTATTTAAAATCAAAAGCCAAAAAATAGCAATTTTCTTTTGACATTTTTTATAACCCGACAGCTGGAATACATAACTGTAACACACTGATAATTTATATATAATCATATATAGCCCTTGATAACTCAGGTCTAATCAGATCTAATTATATATAGATTTATATATAATCATATATAGCCCTTGATAACTCAGGTCTAATCAGATCTAATTATATATAGATTTATATATAATCATATATAGCCCTTGATAACTCAGGTCTAATCAGATCTAATTATATATAGATTTATATATAATCATATATAGCCCTTGATAACTCAGGTCTAATCAGATCTAATTATATATAGATTTATATATAATCATATATAGCCCTTGATAACTCAGGTCTAATCAGATCTAATTATATATAGATTTATATATAATCATATATAGCCCTTGATAACTCAGGTCTAATCAGATCTAATTATATATAGATTTATATATAATCATATATAGCCCTTGATAACTCAGGTCTAATCAGATCTAATTATATATAGATTATATATAATCATATATAGACCTAGATAACTCAGATCTGATTATATATAGACTTATATAAAATATACATACAATATATTAGTCTATATATGATTATATATATTTTATATAAAAATTTAGATATAATCATACATAATTATATATAATTCTATATATTCAATATATAATCATATATAAATATATATGATTAGGCAAATTCATTTTTTCCCGGGATGGTAGAACTCTTAGTTCATTAAAACAATTTTATATAATAGTTACTTAAAATTAACTTGTACAATTATAAACAAAATCTGCTGACAGAAAAATAAGTGATCACAAATGCTGCAAAAAAACAAATCATAATTCAGTCTCTAAAAGTTATTATATTTGTACGCATAATACTTTCCATCAATATTCACGAGCAGAAGTAATTACGTTGTAAAGTTTATGAATTTTGTTTCCCTGATTAAAAAAAAGTATTGAAAAGTATTGAAAAAGTATGTAATTCAATACTTTTTCAATACTTTTCACACACTGTATATCTATATATACATACAATATAGATATACAGTTGCATGGTTCAATACTTTTTTTAAATCAGGGTTTTGTCTTTTTTCCGAAAATTTTAAAGAAAAGCTTTGAATTTGCAAATAACGTAATTTTTTGCACAAGTAATTATGATTTTTATCACTTTTTAACTAAACGATGCGTTTTTCTTTTAATTTACGTTTTTTTAATGTGCTTTAAAATATAAACAAAGTGATATGCATCTTGGAATGATCTGCCACTTTGAAAAAAAAAATCGGCTCGCATTGTCATGCATGGTCCAAGTATGAATCGGACATGATAATAGAACATTTAAAATCATACTTAATAATCCACAAATTGTGGAGAATCATGCCTGCACGCATGATCATACTTGAATCAATCAAAGTCTTAATTACGTATCAATATAAAAGAATATTTGTGAATAATTTACCGAAAGTTATGCATGAATCATGTCCGACACGGACGATCCTATTCAACTACGCAAAACTGTTGAAAATTTGGACGTAGGGCAATCAAATCATCCATTTTGTGTTGCACGATTTGCACGAAATATCAAGACATACGTACATAGCAGTTTATGGAGGTAAATACTAGCCGCTAAAGTAACACTAATAAGAGCTTTCCGGTACACTAGTTCAGATTAAGCAAGACTAAGGACCATCAAGGTCATTTAAAGGATGAATTATTGTCTTCTTGTGATTTTGAGTTCTGCTACGTATCTGGCATGAATATTAGATTATTACCGTGACACATTTATTGCAGCATATCATTGCTCTAATAATTATAGAAGCGTCTACCACACCATATAATCGCTTTCGCAACTCGGTTTCGTAAACCGCTTTTGCTACTAGCAAAAGACACTGTGACCTCTTTGTATTGACACTTCAACGCGACTCTTAAATCATTGATACTTAAGGAGGTCCTTTCGCCGCCAATGTAAAATAAAAAATATTAGATTATGAGTAAATTCAATTTTTTTCTAATAGTTAAGGTCCTTATTTATCTAATAGTGAGGTTTAAACTATACTTTACCGGACAAATTTTTGAAAAAATAAAATTTTTAAATGCTAGTATTTGTTCAGAGTCTTACGAAAAAGTCAGACGTTTGCAGTATTTCTCGAATTATACTATCACCCATGGATTAGATGAAGTAAAAAAAAAAAACTAAAAATTAGATTTTCAAAATATTCAGGTTTCTTTTTTTGCAATAAAATAAAATTTTTCCAATAAAATTTCTTTAAAAGTAACTGATTCTCTGTTGCTTCAGGAACTTATTGTTTTGAAACTTATCTTAGATTCAAAAGTTCTTCAATTTGGAATAAAAAAAATTCTTAAACCAAGAAAATCATTGGGAATAATTTCAACGTCTTGAATTAAGATAAAAAATTCTTGAATCAAATAAAATTTATTTAAACAAAGAACTAATTCTAATTTAAGATTTTTTTTGCTTGATTTAAAGCAAAGCAACTCTTTAAAATCATTTTAATGGTTCAAGAATTTTTCTCTTGAATTAAGTTAATTTTTTTTTTAAATATATGTGAGATAGGACTGAGCATCATTTTACATAGCTGTATATTATTATTATAGAAGTATTAATAATGTAACATAGTTATTATTTCCAAAAAAATAGTATTTTGTTTTTTTTAATAAACTAGCAACCTTGCAGTCACTATATGACTGCCGTGACTTGTGAAATACAGATAAATAAAATTTTGCTTTATTAAATAATGATTTGTTGAATTGCATTGTACTTTTTTAACTACTGACGTCTTTAAAGATATAAGCTCATCCCGATGTTACAATCATCAAGAGCTTTCATTTGAGTACCCACATGCATTTTTGATATATTTTTCATATATACATATA